AGGAGGTAGAAGTAGGTTTTGCTCTAAGATCTATGAGCTCTTCAGCCATGTGTATTTGGCTACATTTAGTACCGCACATGAGTTCCCACCCATTGAGGGTTTAAGTTTAAGCTGTTGATTACCCCAAGATAAAAGTGCTACTACTATACGAACAGAGGTAGCTTTCTGTGCCAGTGACTGTTGTGGTTATTAGAATTTACAACTGGGTTGGATCATTTTTGCTCTAAGATCTATGAGCTCTTCAGCCATGTGTATTTGGCTACATTTAGTACCGCACATGAGTTCCCACCCATTGAGGGTTTAAGTTTAAGCTGTTGATTACCCCAAGATAAAAGTGCTACTACTATACGAACAGAGGTAGCTTTCTGTGCCAGTGACTGTTGTGGTTATTAGAATTTACAACTGGGTTGGATCATTGATTGATTTTCTCCTTTACCAGCTTACATAGTATCTTCTGATACTATGAAAGCTAGTCTTCAGGGACGAGACTTCCAGGTTAGCTCTAGCTCCACTGCTCCAAGCCTTGTGTCCAAAGTATGTCCTGTCTTAAGCAATGGGTTCTTACCTTCAAGTTCTTGGAGGCAATCAAGGGCTATGGCAATAGCCTGGCTGATTTGCAGATTCTCTTGGACTAACCTGACCAACGACTCAAAGGGAGGTTTCTCCTGTCTGACACTGTATTTCTTGATATATTTATGTATTTTGATGCTTGGGTTTATTGAGTTTCTTAGATTTGAATAGCTTTTCACAGATCTAGAAACTGTTTTATTATTATTATTATTATTATTATTATTATTATTATGGTTCTTTTACTGCTTCCTCTCCCATTAATCCCTCCTCCAGAGTTGAACTCTATACGTGCACACGAGCACACACTACATTGCTTTTACAGCCATTTAAAAATTCTGTCAGGCAGAACCAGAGCTGGCTTTACATGGTATTGCTTTCCTCCTCCCTACAAGGCACTGCTCTCCTGAATATGCAATGATATCCATGAAAGTAAGAGGTTTTCCATTCTGACTCTTGCTAACAGGAACCATGGCTCCAAATCTAATCCTTTGGAGTCCTCCCCTTATCAAGCCAGGTAGTTTGCCAACTGTGTGTAAACCAGTCCCAGTTGAAAACTGTAAGGAGATATGTAGGAAGGTCTCCCTAAGCTGGTCAAATGCCTTAGTAACTTCTCACCACTTTGGTCTCCCTGAATTACCATTGTTTCCTCAACTCAAGGAAACCATAGGTCTTTTCTCCCTGTATCAAAGCCTAGAACTTCTTTCAGGGCAGTAAGGCAGAAGCGAGTACATGGCACCTCATTTGTCCCCCTCTCTTAGTAATCGCTGTCACAGTGCCTCATGTGCAATGTCTGTAAACCACTATTTCACGGTTCTCTATTTTCCCTTTTTTTTTTTTCCCCCCTCAAGTTTTTAAGAAAGGTTCTCAGGTAGCTCAGGCTGCCCTCAAACTTACCACATAGCTGAGACTGGCCTTAAACACATGATCCTCCTGCCTCAATCTCCCAGAAGCTCTACGCTTATAGGCATGCACTTGTGAACTGTACATTCTGTTGCAGCTGGGAAGCTTCCTCCAGAGACAAGGACTGCTTTGAATAGCTGGTCAGTGAGTCACTAAGCTCTTCATGAGCAAACCTGACAGTTCATATGTTGTCGAAAAGGAGACAATTTTATTGATTATGAACAAAAATGTTTTTCCTTTTCTATACTGCCTTTTACACAACTTTGTTCATAGTTGATTCAATCTGTTCATAGTTGATTCAATTATTTCCATTTCTAAAAATGAACAAAATCTCTAAATGAATGAAAATGTACACCCTTAATAGCTTAAGTAAAAGGTCAAAAATGTAAGAAAAATCATCTAGCTCCCATATTTTTAAAAATTGTATTTTAAAAATTCTTTACCAGTAAAAATTATTTATAAGGTTTCATTATGAACTGCTGAAATATTTACATAACTCAGATAAATGAAAACGCTACGTAAAATGACAGGATATCTGAAATAAACTGGCTGTGACCAATGGGGTTAAGGAATTCCAAAGGGTTTTAGGAAGCAGAACAGGTAGAATTGGTAACCTGATTCAGGCAGACTGGAGGATATGACACTTTCCAGTTTGGAAGGACAATGACAAAAGGAATCAGGGTTTAGGTGGTGAGGGACAAAATTGAGGGTTTAAG